CTGCAGTAAGCAGGGTGTAGTGGTGAACGCCTGTAATCCCAGCACTTGGGAGACAGAGGCAGTGACTCTTTGTGAGTTCAATGCCAGCCTGGTCTATAAAATGAAGCTAAGACAGCCAAGGCTACAGAGAGAAACCCTATCTCGAAAAACCAAAAACTAAAACAAACAAACACCTCAAGTCCAAGTAGATCAAAGACCTCAACATAAAACAGACACACTTAATCTGATGGAAGAAAAAGTGGATAACAACCTTGAATGCATTGGTACAGGAGACAACTTCCTGAACAGAACACCAACAGCTGAGTCACTAAGATCAATGATTAATAAATGGGACCTCATGAAACTGAAAAGCTTCTGCAAGGCAAAAGACACTGTCAATAGGATAAAACGGCAGCGTAGAGAATGGGAAAATTCTTTACCAATCCTACATCTGACAGAGGGCTAATATCCAAAATATATAAAGACCTCAAGCAATTAAACATCAGCAAACCAAATAACAGAATTAAAACAAGTGCAGAGCTAAACAGAAACTTCAAACAGAGGAATATCGAATGGCAGAGAAACACTTAAAGAAATGTTCAATGTCCTTAGTCATCAGGGAAATGCAAATCAAAATGACCTTAAGATTCCAACTTACACCAGACAGAACAGCTAAGACAAAAAACACAAGTGACAGCTCATGCTGATGAGGATGTGGAGCAATGAGAAGATTCTTCCATTGCTGGTGGGAGTACAAACTGGTACAACCACTTTGGAAATCACTCTGGAGGTTTCTCAGAAATTTGGGAATGGTTCTACCTCAAGACCACTCCTGGTCATATACCCAAAAGATGCTCCACCATACCACAAGGTATACCTCAATTATGTTCATGTTCACAGCAGCTTTATTGATAATAGCCAGAAACTGTAAACAACCTAGATGTCCCTCAACTGAAGAATGGATAAAGAAAATGTGGTATGTTTATACAACAGAATACTATTCAGCTATTGAAAACAAGGATATCATGAAATTTGCAGGCAAATGGATAGAACTGGAAAAGATCATCCTGAGTGAGGTAACCCAGACTCAGCAAGACATGCATGGTATACACTCACTTATAAGTGGATATTGGCCATAAAACACAGGATAACCATGCTACAACCACAATCCCAAAGAAGCTACAGAACAATGAGGGCTCAAGGGAGGAGCCTTGAATCTCGCTCAGAAGGGGAAATAAAATAGACTAAGGAAGTGGATGGCTCGAAGGAACTGGATGGGAGACGGAGTGGGGAGAAGAACAGGGATGGGTATCATATATGGGTAGATCAGTAGAGAGAGAGAGCAGCTGGGAAAGAGAATGGAAATCGGTGAGGGGCCATCTCTGGGACAAGGAGAGCTCTGGGAGTTTATGGGGCTTGATGCAAACCCTGGCTGAGACTCCCAGCAGCAGGAGATAGGGAGTCTGAAGTACCCACCTCCTGTAGCCAGGCAGGACTCCCAGGGAAGGGAAGGGGACACTAACCTACCCACAAAACCTTTGACCCAAGTTTTTCCTGGAAAGATGGAGCAGAGATTGAAGTTATGTCCAGCCAAGGCCTGGCTCAACTTGAGACCCACCCCATGGGAAAGAGCCAACCCTTGACACTATTAATGATACTCTGTTATACTTGCAAACAGGAGCCTAGCATACCTGCCCTCTGAGAGGCTCTGCCCAGCAGCAGATCAAAACAGATGCTGAGACTCACAGCCAAACAATAGGTGCAACTCAGAGAGTCTTGTGGAAAAGTAGTGGGTAAAGATTGAGTGAGCCAGAGGGACCAAGGACACTATAAGACGACCTACAGAATCAACTAACCTGGGCCCATGGGACTCACAGAGACTGAATCACCAACCAAAGAGGATGCATGGGCTGTTTCTAGACACCCTACACACATATAGCAGATATTCAGCTTGGTCTTCATGTGGGTCCCTTACCAATGGGAGTAGTGGCTGCCTCTGACTGTTGCCTGCTTTTGGATCCCCTTCCCCTAGCTGGGCTGCCTTGTCTGGCTTTAGTAGAAGAGAATGTGTTTTAGTCCTGCTGTGACTTGATGCACCAGGGCAGGTTGGTACCCTTGGGAGGGCTTCTCCTTTTCTGAGGGAAGGGGAGGAGAGAATGGGGGAGAGCGTATGAGGATTGGACTGGTAGGAGAGGAGGGAAGAGGGCTGAGATCAAGATTTAAAGTGAATAACTAAATTAATTAATGTAAATAGATAGATAGATAGATAGATAGATAGATAGATAGATAGATAGATAGATAGATAGATAAGTAGAAGTGGTAGAAAGACAAATGGGATGTGCATTGGACGTATGACAGGAGACTACCGAAGAAGGCATCTGAAAGACTCTACCTAGCAGAGTTTCAAAACAGATACTAAGACTCATAACCAAACCTTCGGCAGAAGGGGAGTTAGTATGACGTGGAAAGGATAGGAGCTTCACAAGGACCAAATATATCTGGGCACAGGGGTCTTTTTTGAGACTGACACTCCACCAAGGACCATGTATGGATATAATCTAGAACCTCTGCTTGGATGTAGCCCGTGGTAGCTCAGTAACCAATTGGTTTCCCATAGTAAGGGGAACAGGGACTATTTCTGACAGGAACTCAATGGCAGGCTTTTTGACCTCCCCACTCCCCCAAGGGAGGAGCAGTCCTGCTAGGCCACAGAGGAGGACTTTGCAACCAGTCCTGAAGATATCTGATAAAACAGGATCAGATGAAAGGGGAGAAGGTCCTCCCCAGTCAGTGGACTTGGAAAGGGGCAGGGAGGAGATGAGGAAGGGAGGGTGGGATTGGGAGGGAATAAAGGAGTGGGATACAGCTGGGATATAGAGTTAATAAAATGTAACTAATAATAAAAAAAATTAAATTTAAAATAAATAAATAAATAAATAAATAAATAAATAAATAAATAAATAAAGTGGGTCTTCCCATTTCAAATAATTTAATTAAGAAAAAAAATTCCTCAGAGGTAAACCCAGGCACTTGGGTTTAAGTTAATTCCAGATGTAGTCAAGTTGAAAACCAAGAATAGCTATCACACCCACAAACCAATCTGATCTAGGCAGTTCCTCAATTGAAGCTTCTCCTCTTGTATGCCTATAGACTCTGTTAGGTTGACAATTAAACCTAACAAGAACAGTTGCTCAGTAGTTAAGATGGTATACTGCCCTTTTAGAGGACTCGAGTCTAAATCCCAGCACCCAGGTTAGGCAGCTGCCAAATGCGTGTAATTCCAGCTTCAAGGGATCTGACATCTTCGGACAGCTGCACTCATGTACACATTGCACTCCTCCAGGCACATATTTAAAAATAAATGTGCACACACATAATCAAAACTAAAAATATTTTTAGTGTTTTTTTTCTTTAAAAATATCATTATTTCTTTTTCATGATTTATTCACTTTGTAACCCGGTTGTAGCCCCCTCCCTCATCCGCATCTCCTCCAGGTCCCATCCTGCCTCCCTCTTCTCCCTTATCCCTGTCCCCTAGTCTACTGATAGAAGATGTCCTCCTCCCCTACTTCTGACCCTAGCCTATCAGGTCCAATCAGGACTCTTTCTCTGTGGACTGGCAAGGTTGCTCCACCAGGGAGAAGTGATCAAGGAGCAGGCAACAGAGTTCGTGTCAGAGACTGTCTCTTCTCCCCTTACTAGAGAACCCACATGGAGACTGAGCTATCTTTGAGATACATCTGAAACAGGAAGTCTAGGTCCTCTCTATGCATGGTCTTTGGTTGATGCATCAGCCGCTGCAGTGCCCCCTAGGCCTAGGTGTTTTTTTTTTGTTTGTTTGTTTGTTTGTTTTTTGTTTTTTTTTGTTTTTATCTTCTTGTGGGGCTCCTGTCCCCTCTGGGTCCTTCTATATATATCCTCCTTCTTCCATAAGACTCCCTGTGCTCTGTCCAAAGTTTGGCTGTGAGTCTTTGTATCTGCTTCGTTCCCCTGCTTGGTGGAAACAACCTAGATGTCCTTCAACCTAAGAGTGGATACAAAAATTGTGGTACTTTTTACTCAGCTATTAAAAACAAGGACATCATGAAATTTGCAGACAAATGGCTGGAACTAGAAAAGATCATCCTGAGTGATATATCCCAGAAGCAGAAAGTCACACATGGTATATACTCACTTATAAGTAGATATTAAAAATATAATGTAGGATAAACATACTAAAATCTACAGACCTAAAGAAGCTAAACAACAAGAAGGACCCTAGGGAAGATCCTTTATTCTCATTCAGAAGGGAAAACAGGGTAGACACCGGAAGTGTTAGAAGAGAGGGAACAGGATGGGAGCCTACCACAGATGTCCTCTAAAAGTGATACTTTAATTTTTTTTATTTTGTGTGTATGAGAGAAATGAAAGAGAAAAAGACAAAGACACACAAAGAGACAGGGCGAATGAATGTATGCTGGTGTGATGATTCCACAGTATGTTTGTAGAAGGCAGAGGACAATTCTCTGAAGTTGGCTCTCTACTCTTAGTATTTTCCACTTGGGAATAGGTTGGAGACATCATGCCCCTTTGTTTTTAATAGCTAATCATGTATTTCTTTTAAATAAATATATGTGTTTTAGATAACCAGTGTCATGAAATTCTCGACACTTCACAATGCTAAAATACAGTTTGGTAATGGAGTCTATATTCTAGTCGTATCTGCAACTATATTTTCTCCATATGGTACAGAGATCTAGCTACAAGTATTTAGTCTTTTGTTTCTTTGAGTCTGGGGCATTATAGGATGCTAATATTGATCATTTGATTTGGGTTTACCTATATAAGTTACTCTATAACTCTGTCTTTACTTTGTGATTGGATTTGGGTGATTATCAGTCTGGGTAGACTGATTGCTAACTCTTCTCTGAAATAAGGTAATGGGCACAATATATGATAATTTCTAATTGTATCCTAACAATCATAATCCAAAATAATAATCCAAGACACAGCTAAACCTTTTTTCCCTATTGCTTTTATAGGCATCAATGGCTATGCTTTTGATAGCTTGCAGTTTACAGTTTGTTTGCATGAGGTGGCCTACTGGTACATTCTCAGTGTTGGAGCACAGACAGACTTCTTATCTGTCTTCTTCTCTGGATATACTTTCAAACACAAAATGGTCTATGAAGATACGCTTATCCTGTTTCCATTCTCAGGAGAAACTGTATTTATGTCGATGGAAAATCCTGGTTAGTTATTTATTTTATCATATCACTAACAGCTGTGATTGTTTCATTGCTTCATTGCTCTTTTGCCTAATACCTCATATTTTGTAAATATGATAGTAAATATATCAAGTGACTTTGATATGTGGCTTTGGTAATTGGAAAGTATTTTATGAGGAACAAAGAGATTAGAACTTGGTTGAGATACGGACAATAAAGACATAAATACAAAAAAGTATAAGATATTTCTTCTAAGTTTTACTAGCATGTTTATAAATAATGCTGCCATATGTATATTTGTATATAATATTTATGTACAATATAATACTTTCAAATGTGCATATTTCATTCATTCTTTTAGAATATTTATTAAGGATCTTCCATATGCTGGACATTGTAGGCACTGGTAATATAAAAGTGACAGGACCAACACAGTATTGTGGCTCAGTGTTATAGTGCTTGCCTAGCACACATAATCCTGGATTCAATTTTCAATGGTGAAGAAAAACAAACAAAAACCTCAAAGTAGCCTTTACTATAAAACAAAAACAAAACCTAAAACCTTTTTTGACATGAGTCAAAACTTTAAGTGTGTTTGCTAAATGGTATCAGTGGCTCTATCTTGCCAATAATTTCTAAGCCCTGACTTAGTACATCTTTCATCACCAACCAAGTTGGTTACTTTGCCCCTGAAATACTGTTTTCTTCTGGCCTCCAAGAAACCACAATTTTTGGTTTTGTTCATTTACTGACAGCTTCTTTGCTGAGTCCCTATTTTAATCAGGATGCCTTCAAGCATTTTTTCATTATTTTGATTTTTAGTAGTTTGAATATTATGTTTCTATGTTTGGAGAGAGAGAGAGACACACACAGAGATAGAGACACACAGAGAGAAACAGAGACAGAGACAGAAACAGACAGAAAGACAAAAACACACTCACAGAGAGAGAGTAGTTAATTTTGTGTGATCTTCTCACTATGTAATTTTGTGTGTCATTAATTTTGAAATATACTTGTCTCTCTAAGTACTTTCTTTGATCTTCTTATCCTAGAGTTTATATACATATATAAACTTTATATATATATATATATATATATAGTATATATAATTCTTGTCTGTTTTATTGTTTCTTCTTTTTAAAAAATTATTATTCATTACAATTTATTCACTTTTTCTTTTTAAAAATTAATTAATTTTATTTTATTCTTTGTCTTTCATGGAAATCGTATTTAATATAATTTTAAAATTTATTCCCTTTGTATTCCAGCTGTAGCCCCTACCCTTGTCCCCTACCAATCATGCCTTTCCTCCTTCCCTCATCTCCTCCCATGCCCCATCCCCAGTCCACTGATAGGGGAGGACCTCCTCCCCTTCCATCTGACCCTAGCTTATCAGGTCTCCCCAGGACTGGCTGCCTTGTCTTCCTCTGTGGCCTAGTAAGGCTGCTCTCCCCACCCTGAGGGGGAGGTGATCAAAGAGGAACCACCGAGTTCATGTCAGAGACAGTCCCTGTTCTCATTACTAGTGAACCCACTTAGAGACTGAGTCTGGGGGCTACATCTGTGCAGGGGTTCTAGGTTATCTCCATGCACAGTCCTTGATTGGAGTATCTCAAAAAGACCCCTTTGTCCAGATTTTTTGGTTCTCTTGCTCTCCTTGTGGAGCTCCTATCCCCTCCAGGTCTTTCTATCTCTCCCTTCTTTCATAAGATTCCCTGTGCTGTGCCCAAAGTTTGGCTGAGTCTCAGCATCTGCTTTGATACACTGCTGGGTAGAGTCTTTCAGAGGCCCTCTATGGTAGGCTCCTGTCCTGTTCCCTGTTTTGCCCCTCTTCTGATGTCCATCGTGTTTGTCTTTCGGAGAGACGGTCCTCCTTCTTGCTTAGCTTCCTTAATGTTTACAGATTTTAAGGTGTGTTTATCCTATGTTATATATCTAATATCTACTTATAAGTGAGCATATACCATGTGTGTCTTTCTACTTCTGGGATACCTCACTCAGGATGATCTTTTCTAGTTCCCACCATTTGCCTGCAAATTTCATGATTTCCTTGTTTTTAATTGCTTAGTAATATTCCATTGTGTAAATGAACCAAAATTTCTGTATCCATTCCTTGGTTGAGGGACATATTGGTTGTTTCCAGATTCTAGCTATTATGAATAAAGCTGCTACAAACATGGTTGAGCAAATGTCCTTGTTGTATACTAGGAGTGGTATAGCTGGATCTTGAGGTAGCACTTTTCTTAATTTTCTGAGTAAGTGCCAGATTGATTTCTAAAGTGGTTGTACAAGTTTACATTCCTACCAGCAATGGAGGTGGGTTCCCCTTTCTCCACATCCTCTCAAGCATGTGTTGTCACTTGAGTCTTTGTTCTTAGCCATTCTGATGGGTGTGAGTTGAAATCTCAGCGTCATTTTGATTTGCATTTCCCTGATATCCAAGGATGTTGAGCATTTCTTTAAGTGTTTCTCTGCCATTTGATATTCCTCTATTGAGAATTCTCTGTTTAGCTCTGTACCACATTTTTAATTGGATTACATGGTTTGTTGGTGTTTAACTTCTTGAGTTCTTTATATATTCTGGATATTAGCCCTCTGTCAGATATAGGGTTGGTGAAGAGCCTTTTCAAGTCTGTAGGCTGTCATTTTGTTTTGATGGCAGTGTCCTTTGCTTTAAAGAAGCTTTTCAGTTTCATGAGGTCCCATTTATTGATTGTTGATCTTAGATCCTGTGCTGTTGGTGTTCTGTTCAGGGAGTTGTCTCCTGTGCCAATGAGTTCTAGGCTCTTCCCCACTTTTTCTTCTAACAGATTTAGAGTATCTGGTTTTATGTTGAGGTCTTTGATAAACTTGGACTTTAGTATTATGCAGGGTGATAAATAAGGATCTCTTTGCAGTTTTCTACATGTAGACATTCAGTTAGACCAGCACCATTTGTTGAAGATGCTGTCTTTTTTCCATTGTATGGTTTTGGCTTCTTCGTCAAAAATCAAGTTATCCGTAGGTGTGTGGGTTTATTTCTGGGTCTTCTATTCTGTTTCATTGATCCACCATTCTGTTTCTATGCCAGTGCCATGCAGTTTTTATTACTACTGGTCTGTAGTACAGCTTGAGATCAGGGATGGAGATACCTCCATCCATTATTGTACAGGATTGTTTTAGCAATTCTGTTTTTTTTTTTATTTTTCCATATGAAATGGAGAATTGTTTTTTCAAGGTCTGTAAAGAATTGTGTTGGTATTTTGATGGGAATTGCATTGAATCTGTAGATTGCTTTTGGCAGGATGACCATTGTCACTATGTTAATCCTACTGATCTCTGAGCACGGGAGATCTTTCTATCTTCTGATATCTTTTTCAATTTCTTTCTTCAGAGACTTGAAGTTTTTTTCAAACAGGCTGTTCACTTGCTGTTCACACCAAGGTACTTTGTTATTAGTGGCTATTGTGAAGGGTGTAGTTTCCTTAATTTCTTTCTCAGCCCTTTTGTCTTTTGTATACAGGAGGGCTACTAAGTATTTTTGAGTTAATTTTGTATCTGGCCACTGTGCTGAAGGTGTGTATCTGCTGAAGGAGTTCTCTGGTTGAAATTTTTGGGTCACTCGTGTATACTATAATATCATCTGCGAATAGTGATTCTTTGACTTCTTCCTTTCCAATTTGTATCCCCTTGATCTCCTTTAGTTGTCTTATTGCTCTAGATAAGACTTCAAGTACTATGTTGAAGATATATGAAGAGATTAGGCAGCCTTGCCTTGTCCTTGATTTCAGTGGGATTGATTTAAGTTTCTCTCCGTTTAGTTTGATGTTAGCTATAGGCTTGTTCTATATTGTCTTTACTGTGTTTCAGTATGTGTCCTGTGTTCCTGATCTTTCCAAGACTTTAAAAATGAATGGATGTTGGATTTTGTCAAATGCTTTTTCAGCATCTAAGTAGATGATGATGTGGTTTTTCTCCTTCTGTTTGTTTATACGGTAGATTACATTGATGGTTTTCCATATGTTGAACCACCCCTGCCTTCCTGGCATGAAGCCTACTTGGTTGTTTTATTGGTTTTTACTGTTTCCCTCCTCCAGTTTTCCAGTTTGATTAACTTCTAAAATTTACTTTCATTTCATATAATATTCTTTTTGAATCTGATTTATAAAACTCATCCCAGACTCAATTCCAGCTTGTTTTTTGAGACACAGTCTCTCATTGAACCTGGAGATCATTGATTGACTAGGTGAGATGTCCAATAATCTCTAAGGATCTGCTTGTCTTTGTGTCCCAAGCTTCTGAGATTGCAGACATGCATTTTTTTAAAACATGGATTTAGAGTATAATCCAGATATTTTGGTTAAATACAGGGTGTGTTAATGCCTTCCTTTAATGCAGCCTTCAGGAGGCAGAGAGGGGCAGATTTCTGAGATTGAGGCCAGCCTGATCTACACAGTGATTTTTCAGACCAGCCAGGGGTTCCACAAGCTCAGTCTCAAAATGAGCCGCAGGTGGGAAGAGAGGAAGAGACTTTTGTCTTTAGTTAAACTGCATTGCCTACACTTTTTATAATATGGCCATCTTCTTGCATTACAAATGTGATAAATATAATTAGTTTTTACATATCATTCTAGTATCTTAAAGAATAGATACTTTGGCTTAGCAGTGGTGGTGGATGTCTTTAATCCCAGGACTGGGGAGATAGAGGCAGGTGGATCTCTGTGAGTTCAAAGCCAGCCTGGTCTACAGAGTGAGTTCCAGAACATCCAGGGCTGTTACACAGAAATACCATGTCTCAAAAACAAACCAAACAAGCAATCGAAGAAATACTTGGACCAAGGAGATCGATCAGTGAGTAAAGTACTGGTCATCAGATCACCAGACAGAACCCATGGAAAAAGCCAGGCATAGTAGGACATGTCCATAATTCTAGTGCTTCTACAGTAAGGTGGGAATCCAAGATAGGAAAATTCTCAGAAGCTTGGAGGCTATCTAGCCTGGCATATACAAAGGCAATCAGGAAGACCCTGTCTCAAACAAGGTGGGAGGCAAGGCATGTATTGACACCCAAGGTTGTCCTCTGACCAGAAACGTACACCATAGAGTAAAAGAATAATATTATTAAAATATGAATGTCCTCAACTCTAGGCTGGTCCTTAGGCTGAATTATCAGTTTGGGACTTTTCTTAGGATTAAACCTCAGGATTCAAACCTTGTTCCTGGTTTCTGTAAGTGATTAGCATTCCACTATTTTATTGGCAAAAATTCTATAATCACTTATTTGAGAATATCTATATTAAAAGTAGATTCGTAAATGTTACATCATTGAACACTGCAGATGTTTTTATTATATTTATTACTTTACCATGTGTATGTATGTGTGTGGCCATATATGCTATAGCACAAGTGTGGAGGTCAAAAGATAACTTCAAGACTCAATTCTCTTCTTAAATATGAATTCTAAGGATTGCACTAAGGTCACCAGGCAATTTTATCCACTGGGCTCTCTCAATGGCCTTTAATAATCTTTTTTTGTGATCAGAAATATACATAGCATAGTAGCAGCAATGCAATAATGACTTTTATCACCACTGGTGAATTATTACATATGTCAAGGATTTAACCAAATAACCTATGATGTGTTAGCCTTGACTAGCATTTCTTCATTTGCCTAGGAATAGGAGAGAACCCCCAATACAGAACTTACTTAGAACCGAGGTTATGAATAACCAGAGTTTTATTCTTTCTTATTTTCAGGTGTATTTGTCTTAGGGTGTCATAATTCAGACTTTCGCAAGAGAGGTATGACAGCCTTGCTGAAGGTTACTAGTTGTGATGAGAGCACTAATGATTATTATGAAGAAATATATGAAGATATTCCAACACAGTTGGTGAATGACAATAATGTCATTGAACCCAGAAGCTTCTTCCAGAATTTAAATCATCTTAACACTAGGCAAAAGAAATTTGAAACCACCACAATTCCAGAAAATGATACAGAGAAGATTGAGCCTCAGTTTGGAGAGATCTCAGAGATGCTTAAAGTACAAAGTGTCTCCTTTAGTGACTTGTTGATGCTCTTCGGACAGAGTCATCCTACTCCACGTGGCTTATCCTTATCAGATAGCCAAGAAGCTATCTATGAGGCTATTCATGATGATCATTCACCTGATGCAATAGACTTCAGTGAAAGCCCATCTAAAGTGCCCCAACTCAGGCTAGAACACCATCACAGTGGGAAAATAGTATCTACTCCTGAGCCAAGCCTCCAGGTAAGATCAAATAAGAATGTGAAGGCAACTATAAAAGTAAAGTGGAAGAAACCTGATTTGCAAGTTTCTAATTTACCAAATAATCTAATGACCACAGCAATTCCGTCAGACAATTTGACAGCTGTTTCTGAAAAGACAGTTTCTTCGGGATCTGTACATTTGCCAGTTCACTTTAGTAGTATATTAAGCACCACTGCATTTGGTAAAAAAACACATCCCCTTATTGGGTCTCGTGTACCTCTGAACATTAGTAAAGGAAATAGTGATTCCAGCTTATTGGAGATAGCTTTACTGAATAATCAAGAAAGCTCACCAGGAGATAATATATCATCAGTGGAGAATGACAGATTACTCAAAGAGAAGAGGTTTCATGTAATAGCTTTGTTGGCTAAAGACAATACTTTATTAAAAGATAGTATCTCTTTGATGAAAACAAATAAGACATATAATCATTCAACAACTGATGGAAAAGCTCACACTTACAGCCCAACATCAATTGAGAATAGTACAGCAGTCTTGCAAGATACTGTAGTAAAAATCAATAGTGAGATTCAAGAAGTAATGTTTTTGATTCATGATGGAACACTTTTAGGCAAAAATACTACATATTTGAGACCTAACCACATGCTAAATAAAACTACCTCATCAAAAAATAGAGAAATATTTCATCAAAAAGATGATGATGTTGTTCCACAAGATGCAGAAAATACAATCACACCATTTTTCAAGATGCTGTTCTTGCCAGAATCAGAAGATTGGATTAAAAAGGCCAATGGAAATAACTTCTTGAGCTCTGAGCCAGGGCATAGTCCAAAGCAATTACTATATTTAATGTTAGAAACATCTGTGAAAAATCAGAATTTCTTGTCAAAGAAGAATAAAGTGATAGTAGAACAGGATGGATTTACAAAGGACACAAGACTCAAATACATGTTTTTTCCAAGCAACATGAGCATCTTTCTTACCACCTTGGCAAATGTACAAGAAAATTATATGCATAATCAAGAAAAAAGTACTCAGGAAAAGACACAGAAGGAAGCTTCAATTGAAGAGAAAGTTTTGCCTCAAGTGCACATAGCAGCTGGCTCTAAGAATTTTCTGAAAGTCATTTTCTTATTAGGCAGTAGGCAAAATATAAGTTTAGATGAAGAAACATATGCACCAATACTTCAAGACATCAGGTCAGTAAACAGTTCAACAGATACAGTACAGATTCACATGGCCCATTTCTTTAAAAGAGGGGATGACAAGGAAACAAATTCAGAAAGCTTGGTAAAAAAACCCAGTGAAATGGTGAAGAACTATCCAAGCCAGAAGAATATTACTACTGAACGTAGTAAACGGGCTTTGGGACAATTCAGACTGCCATTAGAAGAACAAGAGCTTGAAAAGGGACAAATTGTAAATAATGCCTCAATTCAATGGCCTCAACCCACAAACTATTTGACACAGAGTATCATTAAACAGATATACCACAGTAACGAAAGGAAAAAGTCTAGTATTCAGTCTTCCTTATCAGATTCTTCTGTGATTAAAAGCACTGATCAGAAAAATAGTTCTGGATCACACATTGTAAGAACATTAGCATTTCCACCAACAGATATCAAGAGGATTCCATTCCAAGATAATATTTTTCATGTTCTAGTGTCATCCTACACTTATGACTTTAAGACAAAAAGTTCTAGAATTCAAGAAAGCAATCATTTCTTAAAAGAAACCAAAAGAAATAACTCTTCTTTAGCCATTCAGCCATGGGAGATGGCTGAAGATCAAGGAAAATTTGCCTCCCCAACGACAAATAACACAAACTCAGTCACATATAAGAAACTTGAGGACATTGTTCTCTTGAAACCAGTCTTGTCTGAAGAAGCTAGCAAAGTTGAATTGCTTCCTCAAGTTTCCATTCATGAGGAAGGACCTTTACTTACAGAAACTAACCATGAATTTCCTGGACACCTGAATCTCATGAAAGAGATCTTTCTTCATAAAATGCATGGGCCTATTAAATGGAATAAAGCAAAGAGAGATGGGAAAGGTATAAAAGGAACAACAGATAGCTCTGAAAAGACTCCCTTTAAACAGCTGGATCATCTTGCTTGGGATTACCATTATACTGCAGAGATACCAAAAGATAAATGGAAATCCAAAGAGAAGTCACTAGAAGTTACATCTGTTAAGAAAGAGAACACCATTTTTTCTCTGAACCCTCATGAAAACAATCGTTCAGTAGAGGCAAACAAGAAACAAAATTGGCCCCAAAGAGAAGCCCCTTGGGTAAAGCCAGGTCAGACTCAAAGTTTGTACTCTCAAAACCCGCCAGTCTTGAAACGACATCAAAGGGAACTCAGTGCTCTTCAGTCAGAACAAGAAGCCACTGACTATGATGATGGCTTCACTGTTGAAACAAATGAGGATTTTGACATTTATGGTGAGGATATAAAGCAGGATCCCCGCAGCTTTCAACAGAAGACAAGACACTATTTTATTGCAGCTGTGGAACGGCTCTGGGACTATGGAATAAGTGAATCTCCTCATGCTCTACGAAATAGGTTTGTATTATTGAGATTTTTTTCTATATTATTGTGACCTTTGACTTTATTAGGTGCCAAAATGGAAAAACGTCATCATCATCCATCAACCCTATAGAACCAAACATGACTGGCAAAAAAAAAGTCAATTAAATGATTCCTAATGATCTCTTGCTATACTCAGAGATTGGTACCTAGCCCAACTGTCATCAGAGAGACTACATCCATCTCATAGAAGAGGAGGATGAAGGATTGTAAGAGTCAAAGGGGTCAAGGCTACGACAAGAAAATCGACAGAATCAACTAAACAGGGCTCATAGGGACTCACAGAGACTGAACCATCAAATAGGGAGGCTGAATGAGTCTGATGTAGGTCTTCTGCATATAGTTATGCTTGTGCAGTTTGGTGTTCTTGTGGGACTCCTAACAGTGGGAGTAGGGGTTGTCTCTGATGCTTTTTTTAACTTTTCTTTTTTAATTAATTTTTATATTAATTACAGTTTATTCACTTTGTATCCCAGCTGTAGCCCCCTCCCACATTCCCTCCCAATTCCACCCTCCCTTCCTCTTCTCCTCCCATGCCCCTCTCTAAGTCCACTGACAGGAGACATCCTCCTCCCCTTCCATCTGACCCTAGCTTATCAGGTCTCATTAAGACTGGCTGCATTGTCCTCCTCTGTGGCCTGGCAAGGATGCTCCCCCCTCAGAGGAGGGTGGTCAAAGAGCCAGCCACTGATTTCATGTCATAGACAGTCCCTGTTCCCCTTTCTAGGGAACCCACTTGGATACTGAGCTGCCATAGGCTACATATGAGCAGGGGTTCTAGGTTATCTCCATGAGTGGTCCTTGTTTGGAGTATCAGTCTCAGAAAAAAAACCCTGTGCCCAGATATTTTGGTTCTGCTGCTCTCCTTGTGGAGCTCCTATCCTCTCCAGGTCTTACTATCTTCCCTTTCTTTCATAAGATTCCCTGCACTCTGCCCAAAGTTTGGTTATGAGTCTCAGCATCTGCTTTGATATACTGCAGGGTAGAGTCCTTCAGGCCCTCTGTGGTAGGCTCCTGTCCTGTTTCCTGTTTTCTCCTTCTTCCAATGTTCATCCCGTTTGTATTTCTGAGTGATGTCTCTGACTCTTTTACCTACATTTGGGACCCTTCTCCTCCTATTGGGTTGCCTTATCCGGCCTTAATATGAAAGGAGGTGCTTAGTCTTATTTTTATCTTGTTATGCCATGTTTGGTTTGTATTCCTGGGAGATCTGCTCTTTTCTGAAGGGAAATGGAGGTGGATCAGATCTGGGAGAGAAGGGAAGTGTGGCAGGGGGACTAGGAAGAGAGGAGGGAGAGGAAATAGTGGTCTGAATGTAGTATATAAGAGAAGAATAAACAAACAAACAAATGGGCAGTCCTTGAAAGAGGAGGAAGTGAAGTGTGTGGTAAGGAAGTTGAAGATGGGACAACATCAGGGATCATGTCCGGCCTCAGGGAATTGTCAAGAAGACACTGCAGGGCATGAAGAAGGGGGAGGGAGGGTGGGATCGGGAGGGGAGGAGGGAGGGGCTTATGGGGGATATAAAGTGAATAAATTGTAATTAATAATAAAAAATAAGTAATAAAAAAGAAGACACTGTAGGCCACAATGAAGTGGGTAGTGGAGTGATGGGAGAGAAAGACATGGGAAAATAGGAGGTGGAGAGATGGAAGAGGAAGAAAAGCTGAGCAGTTTGTGTAATATAAAGAGGGTTAGGAACTGTAGACACGAAGGTGTTTGCTGTTCTTGAACCTTAGGAAATGGTGAATTATTACACTGCCCATCAATAGAGACAGTAACAAATGCAAGTGCTAGTGGGTCTGTGCTTTCTTCCTTTGAGAAAACTGACTACTGTGTGAGTTTCTATGACTCCTAGAGCTGTATCCTAGCCTAGAAAGAAGAGCAGTACCTGCAGAGTGGAGACCCACAGCTGACTGGACATGTCCTGCTGTGTTTACTTCTCATCATTGGCCTATTTGCTAATGTCTCTCTAGTTGGTTGTTGTGGCGGTTCAACCATGAGATGGAACGACTTGTGTTGAATTATGGTTTTTTTGTGCTGTGTTTGACTTTGGCCAGGGACTTGTTTTCTTTGGAATCTATGGGTTATACAAACATTTAACCATCTTACCTTTCAAAAGAAAATGTCATTACTGATGTGGTGCATGGAGGTGCCACTATAATGAACAAGTATGTGATGTAAAGATGGTAGAGAAAGAGAAGTGGAGCAGTTTGTGCACTATGAGAGAGATGGAACTGGAGACAAGAGGGTGTTGAAGAACAGCCTGATATGAGTAGCTTGTGCTTCCACCTGAGGACATGGTTCGGACCTTGTTGGCTATAGTATGTTTTTACAAAATAAATTTTTGAAATGAACTAAATATTAGCACAAGACAAACATATAGTGAAATGGGAAGATAAGGATAACTGGGGATAAAATCAGGTTACAAAACACTAAATAATAATAATAATAATAATAATAATAATAATAATAATAATAATAATAATAA